ATCTTCGTTGTGTGGGTTTTTCTGGTGTAAAATAATATTACGCCCTCCAGATTTATTTTGACTAATCACCTTATTTTCCCAAATTTATAAATTTTTTTCGTCAAAATCTTCATATTGATTATAACAAAAAAATTAATTAAAAAGTAGTTAATGATTAAAAAACACTTTAAAAATATAAATTAATCTATGTTTTACATAAATAATAGTCAATTTAAACAACCAGGGCTGCGCATTTCAAAGAAAGGAGGTCCTAGGAAGTTGGAATTTTGCTGTGCTATTATGAGTGGGTGAACAAGAAACTAACCCGGACGTACATCCAAATAAACATATTACTCCTCTTATCATCGATACAAGATATAATTATTAAGTTGATTTTGATCTTTAATATAAGATTCATTTCTCATATTTATCAGTTTTCTCTAAATTATTTTTATGGATACTCATTCAACTATAATCAAGTAGAAGAGGGAGAAGGGGTATTAAGAAAGATGATTATGGTATTTTAGAAAAAATATGTTACTTTTCTTATAATTAACTAACTTATCTAACTTTTTTAATCTAATCAAATTAGTTAAATGAGTGTTATATTAAGAATCAAAAGAGTATTTATCAAACTGTTTTTTATATAAAAACTAATCTAAATATAAGTTATTACTGACTTTTATCCTAATCCAAACAAGTATACCTTTCTAATTTGCGTTTCTACTCCTTTTCTTGAGTTCTGGCATGTGTTCTCGCTTCCGAGAAATATAAAATTGGACTAATAATTATCCTCTTCAAAAAATAGTAGTCCATGAAAAAGTAATATATAATAACATGTTGGTATTACATTTACAGTGAAAGTCCTCACCTTTTTGTCCAAAAAAAGTAAAGTCTTATCATGCTTTTGGAGTCAAAATAAAACCTTTTTAGCGGTAAAGACATCCAACAAACCATGGGAGAAAGCCTAAGTCTAAAGCCGGAATATAGGCTGAGTCTATCATGCCGGTCTGTTTAGATTCTGAAATTATAAGATCTGAGTTTGAAATTTTTTTCCTTAAATGAAAAACAAACCCTGAAGAGCCAATGGCCTGCCCATCTAGATCCTTTTATATTTTTTTTGTTTTTTAAATTTTTATGTAATTCTAATATTATTAATTTTTTACATTATTAATAATATTTTAAATATTTAGTTATTATTATTATTTTAAAATTAAATTTTACAGAATGATTTGATTTATTTAGTTTTAAACAATAATTTATCCAATTAAATTTTTTAAAAAATGAGTTAATTTAAATTTTAACAATGATTTGATTTATATTATATGCGTTGATATTTTTAAACTATATATATTTGATAATATAGTATTTTTATACTTATATAACTTGTGATTCTATAATTTGAATTAAAAATTCATGAGTTTCAACAACAATGTTTCTCACATTAAACTAAAATAATAGTTAGATTGCAAAATTTAAAAGTAAAATTTCTATAAAGAAGAAAAACTTGATATTTTTGTTATGAAAGAAAAACATATTTATGAAGAAGAGTAATTAATTATAATGATGATAAAATTTCAAAAGATTAATGATAGTATTTATTTATTGCATAATTGCACTATAAATAAAACTTTTGGATGTTGTTATCTTGTTAATGAATGTTTTAAATGTTATTGGATGTTGATCGATATTTATATATGATGATATTTTGTATTTGTGACTTAATTTTATTCATATTTATGTCTTTTATTAACAATTTTACTAGTTTATTTTTATTTTTTAATAAAAATATGAGAAATATAATAAATAATATTTTTTTAAACCGGTTAGAAGCCTGACCCATTAGTTTAAAAAACGGACCTAACAAATTAGAATATTTTTAAAATTTCAGTCTAAGAGGATCAGTTTTTTTAAACGTGTCAGTCATGAAAGTACGGTCCTGATTCCTACTTCTACCTAGGTTCCTGTTTGGCAAGAGGTGAAACTCAAACAGCAAGTCAATAAACAAAGAGGGTGTGAGCAATAAATACGGAACAGAGTACGTAATGGGAAATTGTGCAGATACAGCTGTAAATGTCGGCTGATACGGATTAAGCGTGACCCCAAAAGCAGCGAAACAGCGGTGAAATGAGCACAGAGAATCCCCACACAATCGAAAATCACTTATAAAAATATCTTGGGATAAATTATTATGCTTCGTGGATCAAATTAAAAAATTGTTTATAAACCATTTTAAATTAACCTTAAATGTATTCCTTCGACTTAATTATTGAGTTAGTTTTAGTTCTAAATATAAGATCTATTTTTTATATTTATCAATTTTTTTTAAATTACTCCTATAGATACTCTTTCAACCATAATCAAATAAAAGAGGGAAATGAGGTATTAAAAAAAATAATTATGGTATTTTAGAAAAAATGTATCATATTTTTTTATAATTAACTAACTTATCTAACTTATTTAATTTAATCAAATTAGTTAAATGGATTTTATATTAAAAATCGGAAGAGTATTTAGTTTTGTATTATCACTATTACTTTTCTCGCGCTCGTGGAACACGTTGCAGCAGGATAATGCATTTAATGTCTGGACAACTGTAGAGATAAATGGATAAGGATGAATTTTCAATGTGTAGATTTTTCTGGTGTAAAATAACATTATTCCCTCCCAGATAAAATCTTCATATTGATTATCACAAAAATTTTCATTAAACAGTATTTAATGATTTAAAAAAACTTTACAAATATAAATTAATATATGTTCTTCATAAATAATACTACTTCCAATCTTTAATATAAAAGTTAGTTTGATTTCTATTTTAATTTTAAATATAAGACTTTAATAATCTACCTTATCTCTTACATTTTCTCAAATTTAAAATTTTTTTCTCAAAATCTTCATATTGAGAAATTAGTGTTGAAACCAAAGAGTATTGAAGGCGGATAAATAATCTAAAATGAAACTCATCTTTTTCTTCTGTTTTTGGTACAATATTATGCATATATAAAGGTAGGGTCTAAAAATTTGTTTCATATGTCCAACATTTCTTAGAGTATGGGATATAGCTGTAATTAGTTTAAAGCACGACTTGAGGTTTAACTTGTTTCCGGGTGGCTTCCGCAGAGTTTCAATGCATGGTTAGGAAATTACCTTGACATTTTCTCCCAAATTTCTCTGAAGGCCTTCATCCAAAAGCTTAAATTCAATAGGAAATAAACAGGGCCTGTGGGGGGATTATTCTACTGGGGAAGATAATTAAGGTGGTCCTGGAGCTGATTCAGGCAACCAAGTCAATGGAATTACGTCTGCGAGACTTCATGGAATGGAACACATACCATTTACACGAGGGGATGGGCCTCTTTCAAGTTACGAGTATTAATTAAAACTTTCTTTTATTTATGTTCTCAATCTAAACACTGGAAAAAAAACTCTCCAATTAATATCTTCCTGATTATGAATTATTTCTCTCTCTGTTTTTTTTTTTTTTTTGCCAACAGTTATAATTCTCACATCTCAATACTTTGTGATTCCAATTTAGGGGAAACTAATTCATAAATCTTTCTAGTTACTTGATTTTTAATCAGGCTTTCGTAATTTTTTTAATTAGGTTCTTACCTTTTTTCTTTAATTATAGGTATTGGTTCCCGTACTTACAAGTTGTTAATTTGTAAGAGAAATAAGGTTAGTAATTAATGACATTGTCCTCGTTCAGCAGATACTTGGATTAATTAAATTTGTCACATAGATGTAAATAAAATCAAGATCAACCAAATTGTACATTAAATATAAATGTATAGAGACAACTTTATGGATAATAATATCTTAGGTCAGTAACAAGTAAATCAATTTATTTCATCATTTTATCTTTAAAAATCCTTTTTTATTTTATATTTTGTGGCAGAATCCATACCAGTTATGTGTGAGATTAGAAACTAATGCCCATAATAGATCTGAATACTGAGACTTATATTTAAGAAAGGAAGAGTATAGTCAAACACGAGACTCTAACTTATCATTTATTGAAAAAAATGTATTGTTGTAACCTGTAATCCAAAGAAAATGGAATGTTTTGGTTGTTTGGTTGAGGGGAGCCAATGAAATTGAAGTGAGGGAATAATTTGAGGATTAAAAAAAAAAAAACTTGCTTGACAATTTAATTTTAGTTGGTTGTTTTAAAAAATTAGAAACAAACAGTAATATGTTTTTTAAAAACTAAAAATATAAAACAACTTTTGGATGTTTTCTTGCTTTTGTTTTTATATTTTTTATTTTTTATTTTAAAATATTAGAGAAACCTTCTTTTCTTCTTATCTACCACCCAACATGTATCACTGTCAATGACGGTCACCACTTGCCAAATATGATTTTTTATATTTTTTCTTTCAAATATAAATTTTTAAAATAATTATCCAAACATATTTTTTGCTTTTTATTTTCAAATTTTGTTTTAAGAAAATAATTTATAAAATTATTTTGGGAATAGGAAAACGAAAAAAACAAAGCCAAACAAGTCCAAAGTTTTCTTTTTTTCCTGCAGGAGTTGCAAAGGAGGGAGAGAAGATGCACAAGAATACTTAATTGTTAACAGAGTACTTATAGAAAGAGACTCGTTCAAACCATAAGCGAAGATTAAAGCCCCTTTGTGCCAAGAAAATCCTCATTGACAAAGTTATGCAAGAGAAAAAAGACCCAGTGTTGCAGGCCAAAATGAAATGGAGCCTTGAGAACTTTAGATAATTCCAAGAGAAAGGAAAACGAATTGAGAACTAGGCGGAGCTGATATAGAGATTTATATCAAAAAGGCAATTAAGAACTTTAGATCAGAGTATGCAAATAGCACACCTGAATTAGCATATATTTGCACAGATCCATAATCACAACCAATTGCTACGGGTGGATACTCAAGTGTCTTAAGAGAATTGGGTGAGTCATAATCTTCTTCGCCTCCACTGGTTTCATGTTCTTCGCGATCCTTGTCCCTATTATTGAGACAAATGATCCATTCCTATTTCCTCATGTGATCAGGCTCTGCTTCAGTATTAATAACGGCACTTTTAGATGGTGACAAAGCCATCTGCCATATAATGAGACACCAGCCGAACCAAGCACAGCCTGCAACAGCATTACCAAATACTAGGCAAGTCCTTAAATGACATGTATTAACATATGTAATCAGGAAGCAGAACAAAAAGGTGACGTATTGACAATGACCAGGGCAACCATTTGGATTTTTTTTAAAAACGTTCTTTTGTTTACAAAACGAAACATAATTTCAGCAATTTAAAGATATTTGAGGCCACAAGACTGATAATATTTGACTCTCTGGAGTTTTTCTTTTAGTCTCGAAAATTCTTCAAACTTGGGAACCAAGCCATTGTTTTAAGATGCCGAGCGCTTTTTAACTTGATTAACCCCGCAGCCACAAGAAGATATATAAGCGGCCTTCCAAACTTAAACGTCAGGTCCAAATGCAAAGTTATAAAAAGGCAAACGAAGTATAGCTTATAAAATGCTAAAGACAAAGCAATTATTCCGCACCTTCTGTGTCAGGTGGAAAAGATTCAAATCTCCAGGGAGCCATCTTCACACGCGGCGGCGACCAGCGAATCATCGACGCCGATGACCAAAGACACTACCAGAGAAGGCTTTCAATCTATTGAACTGATTTTATGAAGTTGGTTCATTCTATAACAGAAAACAAATCAAGCTCACATCTATTTCTTATGTCTGCAAACTCCTTCAATGGCTTCCTCAACCTCAAGCTCCATATATTTCTTTGACCATCAGAGAAGATGCAGCAATGAGGTAAATGGAGACAAAACATATTTGCACATAGGAGGTGAATTCGCATTTTCTTTCTCAATCTGCTTGGTTAAGAAGTAATTACCTTAATGTCCAGTTGAATCCAACTCTTCAAGATCCAACAGAAAGAAAGTCGTGGCCGTAATATGCCGAGGTCAATAGTCGAATGTAATCGTCACTCCCATCATCTTAGCTTAAAACAATAAAGAAAGGTTAAGATCAGCAATGCAATTTGGACTCCTCAGACCTCAAGACTAGAATCAAATCTCAATAGAAAAAAAATGTTAAATTAATTATATGCGGTAATTAGTACGTACAAACATACAAAAATCATGTCTATAATTAAAACCAGAGTATACCATTTTGAGGTGGATGCACGAGAGTGATGTATGAAGTTATAGTGTTTAGATCAATTCAACCTGAGAGCTTTAAAACTCAAAATCATTTCTTCAAATTCATCGAAGCAAGCTGTGGTATTTGCGCTTTCGAGAGAGAGAGGCCGCTTCCATTGCATTAGAGCCAGGCTGAGGAGGCAATGGCAATTGATTTTGTTTAATGTCACCATTTTGATATTCATCCGCAGATATCGGGCATACCCCGCACCTTCTGATCTTTACCATTCTGTCATCATCCGAACGAATGTCACCTTTTGATCCGTATGAAGTTATAGTGCATTTGCGCTTTCGAGAGAGAGAGGCCGCTTCCATTGCATTAGAGCTAGGCTGAGGAGGCCATGGCAATTGAATTTGTTTAATGTCACCATCTTGATATTCAACTGCAGATGCTGGGCATACTCCACACCTTTTGATCTCTGCCGTTCTGTCATCATACCAACGAGCTTCGAATTTAACTTTAAGCTCCATGTTGCTCTGACCATTTCTTTTCCTTTCTTCAATTTTCCTTTTTAGTTCTCCAAGTGAATCGGGATCATACCAAAGACCAACATGCTTTGAGGACGGCCCATACAAGTAAAACGGGCTTTTGGCGGCCCTGCAAGCATATTTACCATCAATAAGCCATTTGGCATCAATTTCTCCTCCCCCCTCTAATGGTAATTTAGAAAAGACGACGCAAAAAAGGAATCCCCCATCCTCAGAATTTGGAATCGAACTGAGATTCACAGTCATGGGATCCTCTTCAGTACTCTTAAACTTGAACCACTTTGGAACTATTTTTCCTGGATATTCCAATATAGCATCGTCATAAGTGGCTTTCTTTATCGCAAGTAGCACTCTTGCCTCAGCAGCTTCGATTGCCCGTCGATTCAGCTTCTTGCAATTTGTGAACATAAAGCGTGGACATGCCTTCTCTTTTCCTTCTTCACCTTCGTTTGTCAAAGGTGAATATTGTATGGTCTCAAGGGATATGCAGTCCTCTGCAAACAATTGCAAGACAGAGGGAGGGAGCTCTGGTAGACAACGAAGCCTTTTACATCCCTCCAGGTAAAGACGTTGCAGGCGTGAAAGATGTTTGATGCTCGAAGGCAAGGTCTGTACACGAGTGTGTGAGAGATCTAACTCACGTAATGATAACAGCAACCTGATGTCATTAGGAAGTTCAGATAATTCATTGCAATACGGAAGCCCGAGTCTTTCCAAAGCACCCATCTTATCACACTTGGACAGGAGAGGTGACGCTAGCTCATTACAGCCTCCAGCGTCAACACCTCGAAGGTCACGCAGCTCAATCAATTCGTGAACGCTTGTCACATTTCCGCAATTGGCTATAGCTAAGTCACGAATTTTGCTGCGATGCCCACTTGATGAGCGCAACGCACCTCTGATGGCAGCTCCTGAAAGGTGTGAACAGAGCTCTTCATTTTCTGAGGTTACTGAAAATTCCTCCAGACTTGAGCAATAACTTACATCGAGCCGACTGAGAGATTGGAGAGGGGTATCGCTTGTAAGGCTGGTAAGGGACTTGCAACGGCGTAGCCATAAACTATGCAGGCTGGGGAGAGATAAAATAGATGGATGAACACTCCGCAATTTTGTACAGACATGAGATAACATATTTAAGACGTGTGGCCTTGGAAAAATCTGGGAGTTCAATCAAGTTTGTTGAACCAGTGAGCGTAATTGCGATTAAGTTCCGAAGATTCTGTAAAAGCATAAATTACATGATAAGATTGGTGGCCAAAACCAAATTAAATTACTTATCTATTCCTTTTTATAAGGTTTCGCTGCCTGTTGTGCTGAGAAAATAAGTTGAAATTAGCTATTGTCAACAACTTAAATTTTACAACTTTTCATAATCTTAATCAATACTCCCTCCGATTGAAGATACCAAATAACTACATCACATAATTTGATTAAAATTAGTTAAAAATAATAAATGATAAAAGAAAATGTAACTTATTTTCTTAAAACATGTTTGTTTATGGAGAGGATAAGTGAGAGAAAAAATATGTAGAAAAAGAGATATGAGAGAATGAGTTGAAAAAAAAAAGAATTAGAAAGATATATAATCAATTAAAAGTAAAAAATAAAAATGATGTATCTCACAAAAAAAAAATGATGTATTTAATGATTAGGTAAATCCAAATTATAACTTATTAAAAAAAAAAAGCTTCAAAGATTTGATGCTTATAGTTCAACAGAGATAGTAATCTTTATAAGTAAAGGGCATGGAGCTTAGTGTGAAGGTGAAAGACGAAGGCATTTATTTAGAATGGGTTATCAATATTTCATTGAATTTTGTAAGAGATTTTATCTGGACCTTATAAAAAGGGCTGAGCGGAGCGTATTTAATAAAGATTTTCCAACTGATGTATTAACAATATTTTGTAAGAAAAAATATAAAATTCACCTGCACTCCATCCCAAAGTCTTGTCAATCTGCTGAAGGGCATTTTCAATCGAACAAGACTTTCAGCCTTAAATGTCGTTGGCAAGGACTCTAAAGGGCATCCCACCCAATCCAGTAGCATGAGTTTTTTTGACAGAAACTTCATACAAGAAGCATTTAACTTGTTCCTAAGCTGTCCATTCAAATCTCCACAAACCCTAAGAAACTTTAGATTGGGCATTGAACGAAATGCTTTAATAATTACGCTCGTCTCTTCAACTTCTGAAAGGCTAATAACCATGCCTTCAATACGTCCCTAACAAACAAAAAAATTATAATAGTAATAAAAATATTATATACGTCAAATAGGAATTTGGAATTCAACAATCTTTTTAATAAATAAATGTAGAAATTTCACACTTACCATATTTTTCTAATATTACAGAACTTTCCCTGAAAATCCAAAATTTTGCACCATGTAGGATATTTTAATGATTCTTCACGGACAATTTGTTTACCCATTTGTTTTATTAGACTGTGCATATATATTTTTCCTTCATCAATATCTAAAAGGCTTTTTCTCAAGTCTTGCCAATCCAATCTCGGTTGAATAACCGCATGGATCTAACAATTTTTTTACATCCTCAGCATCATAATAATAATTGAAAAAACATGCGACGTGCAAGACAATATTTTTCTCTTCCTTATCAAGTCCTTCAAAACTCAATTTGAGGATATCAATGACTTCTGGACAAAACAATTTTTGAAGCTTTGCCAATTGGCTTTTCCATGCTTCTTGATTTTTGCCACGCAAGGTGGAGCCTAAAACCTTTAGAGCCAATGGATTTCCACCTGCATATTTAGTCACTTCTTCTGCTAGCTCTCTTATCTTCAGATCACTGCAGCCTGTTTTGAAGGCATTCAAGGAGAAAAGTTGAAAAGCTTCATAAGGATCCAAACCATGAAGCGCATATATATTATTATCATCCACTTTCGTACGAAGCACTTGCTTATCTCTGCTTGTTATTAAGACTTTGCTACCTGATCCAAATTCACATCTTCCAACTAAATTTTCTAATCGTTCAGCATTATCAACATCATCAAGCACAATGAAAACCTTTGTCCGACGAAGCCTAGTCATGATATGAGAATATATTGCTTTACCCCCCAATAAACTCCAAACAAGTTCCTTCCTTAAAGCATCTATTCCATCTTTTTTTAATTTTTCTCCCACTTTTTCCAGAAAGTAAGACCCTTCGTATTCAAAATGCCGCTTGTCATACAATGCTCTTACAAGAGTTGTTTTGTCCAAACCGCCCATCCCCCAAATTCCAATGAATTGGCAACCACCATTTTTTGAACCTGTGTCCAACATTGATTCTACAACGGCCATTCTTTTGTGAATTCCAATCAAGCCTTTTAGATGATCTTCACTTTGATACCTACGGTCCAACTCTTTCATGATACAATTCACTATTTCTTCAATTAGCACCGCTTCATTCCTACACACCATTGAAAAAATAAAGAGGCACCAAATTTAATACCACATCATCTATCCATTTCAAATTTTGAACTATTCCTAATGACATGTAACTATGAAGATTTGCCAAATTTTAAAATTTGTCATAATATTTTTTTTGAGAAATATTACTTATATTAGATGACATAACTAGATATATACATATATCAGAGAAAGATCATAAGCATATATATACAAGTTACCTATCGGGGCTACAATGCCAACCGGATAAATTGGCAGCATGAGTGAGAGCCTCCCTCCACTGGCGCAGTTGTTGCGTGTTGATGCTGCTTTTGCGCTCATGTCCTTCAAATGCTTCGTGGTAACTCCCACGTTGCTTCCTCACATCTGAAGGATCTACTCTATAGAACACAGGTATAAGAAGGTGACGTTGATTTCTGCAGCACTCTAATATTTTTGCAAGCTCCTTCAAGCACCACGTGGAAGATGCATAGTTTTCTGAGAACACCACAAGGAACAGAGTTGAATCTTCAATGGCTTTCTCAAGAGATGGCCATACCTCATCTCCTTTCTCGAGGCTGTCATCGATGTATGCATATATTTTTTGTCCACAAAGAGCATGATAAAGATGGCTTGTGAAATTCAAGCGGGTGTCCTCACCTCTAAAACTAATAAAAACATCATATTTCTTGGGAGATTGAGAAGATGGAGCAGAGGAAGAAGATGAAGCCATAGCAGATCGCCTGGCCACAATATGCAAAAGAGAATTGGGACTGCTTTCAATTCAGATCCAAGAATTTGTAATAGGAAACAAACCGGCCAAAGGGGAAGATAAGGTTACAGAAGTCGGTTGGGTAAATTAATGAATCAGTGGCTCTCAAATTTCAGAGGAAGGGAAAGACAGCACTAAATGAAGAAAGCATAGTACGGAGAGCAAGTAAATTACTCCGGCACTTTACCCGAAATGTTGACTAAACCCAAAAGCAAGTTAGAAAGTGGGAACTGGCTTCTTTTCATCCGCTGCCCTCGCCACTTTAGTTAGTGATGCTTAACGCTTTATTTTTAGACTATCGAAGCTTATTTTTATCCATTTTGATAAGTATTTATAAGTATTTTTATATAAATTAAGATAAAACTCTTCTCATATAATTATATTGTATTTTATAACTTACAATTAAAAAGTTGTTTATAAATTATTCTAAACAAGTTTTAGGTGTTACTGAGAAAATATTTGACAAAGCCAAATGCTTATTTAAAAAATTCAAAAAAGGGTTCTGCTTCACCTATTCCGCACCAAAACGGTGACTTTTAAATAAAGAGGGGCAGCTAAGGCAAAAAGGAGAGAGGCTGGTTTCGATGAAGTTCACACACAATTGGATCACAGTACCACGCGGTATTTGTGATTGACGTATTTGTATGGACATGTGCATCTAATTTGTATTAAATATAATAAAGTAAAATAAAACAATTATTATTTTTACCTTAATGCCAGTAAGGTAATTAGTTTAATTTGTTTTTCAGATTCGTGAAAACTTAAGTTCGTTTATAGCTGCAGATAGTTATGGCTAGAATTGAAGGTGAAACAGAAAACTGGAGAATAATTATGTTTTAATTAACATAACCCGAACTATTGCCAGTCGTTTCTAAAATTACTGGTATAGTTTTTTTTTATTTGACCAGAAAATTACGGGCGTCTATTCCCTATCTTTGACCCAAAAAAAAAAAAAAAGAGAAGGTATATATTCCCTACCATTCAAGTGACATTTTTTTCCGTTTTAAAAAGCTTAATTTTAATTTAGACCTTAGCCTTCACCCCTTTTAGCAATCGCGCAAGGAGAGGTTACAGAAGATCGCTCCTAAATGACTTGCTGGCAAAACGAGTTTAATGATTGTTTGGATTACCTTATTTTAAAGAGAAGAGTTTTAATTCATAAAACGAAAAATAATTTTTTTAAAAAATTGATTATGAGAACCATTTAGCCAATAACTACCCGTCTCCATTCATTACTACTTTCGATCCTAAATATAAGAACTGGTTGACTAATTTGAGCAGATTAAAAGAATAAGTTAGTTAGTTATTTGTAATAAATAAGTGTTGTCTTTCCTAGAATATCCTTAATAACCAAGTTTATTGGCTAGCACAACAATTTTTAGAAGGACATCTTAGAAAAAAAACGGATAAATATGACAGACAAGGGGGATTGAGATCTTACATTTAAGACCAAAATAAAAATCAAACGAAGTCTTATATTAAAGACAAGAGGTAGTATAATATAGACTTTGTATTTTTGAAGGTAATATAGCGTATATTAAATAATGATAAATTTTAAAATTTATTAAAATTTTTGAAAATAGCTTAAAAATAGAAAGAAAATAATCAAATCACGGAACTGGCGCCTGGCGGAACACGTTACCGCAGGAGGTGAATTTAATGTCTGAAAAACGGTAACAACAAATTGGTAAGGATGACTTTTGACTGGTTGGATTTTGCAGGGGTGAAAACAATTCCCATGCATTATTATGGAGCAGATTATTGCCTAAAATGCCAGAAATTCTTTTTGACCTGGAAAAGTTCCAGAAATTCGAAGGCCCCCGCACATGGTCTGACAATCAAAACAGCCTCATAAATGGTGATATGAGCTTTTTTTTTTTTGTTGGCCTGAATATATATAATTTATCTTTATTTAATTTTCAAAACTCCGTGATAGCTGCCCACCTTGTCACTATCAGCTCCGGAGCTCCGATGGCCAACAGCAACTGATACCAAAGCTCTGGCTATATATGGATTAGGGTCTCCAGGAATGGTCTGAGTGTACGAAGCTAAATGCATCAGGAACTTACATAAACTAAAATAATAACAGTTATGAAATTAAGAACTCCTAAGGAATTAAATTAATAATTTTTTATTCGAAGAAAAATAACAGTTAAAATATTATTTTTATTTTAAATTTTAGGGTTTGCACAATTGAAAATAGAAACTTTAAAAAAATGTATAAATATAAATTAATATTAACTTTTTACCATCCAATATTAAATCTCAACTATCAAATATCAACCTAAGCCAAACTGCGAGAAGCAACCTCTCGAGCGCAAGGGTATCGCTTAAACAATAAATTGAAGCGAGGTTAAAGTAAGCAATATAATGCAATTTTCTCTTTCAAAACACAGTCTTCCGTCTGTCCTCATTTTGTTTGTTCTTTATACTATCAATTTTTTCCCCCCAAAAAGCTCTTAAATCAATTGTATGCATGCCATCATACAACATAAGGATGCCATAATTAGTACTTAAAAACCAATATATATATGTATATAACTTCTAAAACCAGAATATGCATACCTTTTTGGGGTGGAGGGAGCGCAGTATATATGAAGTTAAAATGGGCAGAACATTCAACTCGAGAGCTTTAAAACTCAAAATCATTTCTTCAAATTCATCGAAGCAAGCTGTGGTATTTGCGCTTTTGAGAGAGGCCGCTTCCATTGCATTAGAGCCAGGCTGAGGAGGCAATGGCAATTGATTTTGTTTAATGTCACCATTTTGATATTCATAAAATCGGATGATTCTACGTTTTGAATCACGATGTTGATAACACTGGTAGGAAGTACTTGAACCCTTGAAATAAAATTGACCTTTTATGGAAAAAAAAATTGACTGATATAAAAATCAATCCGACTTATGACATTATTAGGGTTTGATTAAAAGACCAAAAGAAAGATTGAAGAAGTGGAAGTGTATAAAATCCTCTAAATCTTAGGGAGAATCCTAATAAAATCCACCTGAAACACTTAAATCCAAATTAAAGCATACACTTTTAATAAACTAGAGATTTCTGAATGTCACTAAATGATCAGAATGTATTTGTTTAATTATAAAGAAGAATGGATTATTTTATCCCTTTCAAGTAGTCTTTCATATCTTATGATTAGTTTTTGAGACTAAAGAAACATAAGTAATTTTTACGGTGTTTAAATTTTTTATATATAAGTAAAATCTTCAAAAAATACTTTAAATTACAATATAAGTGCCCTTTAAATATATATTTAAAATAAAATATTTTCGTTGAAAAATATTTGTAATTGATATAAATAATATTTCACAACAGAATAAAATAAAAGGTGTTTTTTTATTTTGTGAATCCAACGTTTAGTTAAGTAAATAAAACTAACGTAAATTATGAAAATATAATATTAAATATTTGATCTAATTAAAATATTTTAAGGTCTTAAAATAAATATAGAAAATAAAAAATATTTATTTCAAAGCTATTTATGCTGTAATTAAGATATTTTATCAGAATATTTTTGAAGCTTAGCTGTACATACAAATTTTAAACGTTATAAAATCAATTGTATTATTTTTCGGTCCGAAAAAATAATAGTAACAGATGAGAGATTACTTAAAGAATAAAATAATCAATTTTTCTTTTTGATAAAAGGGAGTCAGTTTAGTCATTTAACATTTAACAACATTTAGAAATTATAAATTAAGCCTCACAGCCTGATTAGAAATTTATTAAAAATATAGATTTTAATTTGAATTTAGATATTTCAGCTAGATTTTATTGAGATTTTTCCTAATTCTTATTTAAAAGGAAAAGAGAAGTCTTTTTTTTAATTATTTATAAGAGATTATTATTTTTTCATGAATGTATTCCCTCTAATCTTATATATAAATTTCAAATAACTGAATCACGTTTAACAAACTAGTAATTAAAATTAGTTAAAAGAAATAAATGGGTCAAAAATATTTTTTTTTTCCAATTGAACTTATATTTTGGTTATACCAAAAAAAAGAACTTATATTTTGGATTACATCTTTTTCTAAAAGTGAAGGACGGAGTATTATTTTACTCTCATTTATTATAGATTGTTTTGTTACGATGTGCAAAAAAGATATAATTGGGACCGCTTTTAATTCAGATCTAAGAATGATTTAATGGAGTAGACTTGGTCAACCAAGTCAATGAAAATGGAACATACTGAATAATAAATAATTATAAATATAAATTATAATAAATAAAAGCAAAGCTAACTTTTAGAAATTTACAAAAAGTTGGCTTCCGGGTGACTTCTGGGAACTTTCACAAGCATTGAATCTCAAATTTCAAAGACAGCGTTAAATGAAAAACACGGTACAGAGAGAAAGGAAATTGCCCCCACACTTTCACCGAAATCCTGATCAAATTTCTCGGAGACCTTCACCCAAAGCTTACTCAAGTTTCCGAAGGACTCGTCGGGGGAGGGGGGGGACAAAGAAAGAAATTTTCCAAGGAAATATACCTATCAAATTTCCTAATTAACGAAATTTGGTTTAATAAAGCCCTATGATTACGCCTCTCTCATTTGTGTTTCTACTCCTTTCCTTGAGTTCCACCATATATGATGCGTCTTCTCTTTTAGAAATATAAAATTGAATAAATAATTATTTTCTTCGACAAATAGTAATGTATAATATGAAAGATTTTGTATAACCTTTAAAATGAAATGCAGAGGAGAGCTAGTAAGCATTAAAGTTTTAAACTTTTAACATTCAAATGTGCAAGTATTGACATTTTTTATTATTATCAGCTCTCATTTCCTCTCCTTTTTAATCAAACAAGCCATCATTAAAGGGCTTGTTTGATTTCCATTTTTGAATTTTGTTTAGCTTTTACAAATTAAAAAACAGAGAGAGAAAAAGACTTGTTTAGATAAGGTGCATGTTATTGTACTCTCTTCTATTCTAAATATAAGAGTTAGTTAAAATATTTGTTTTGGTTTTATATATAAAATTCTAATATACTTTTTATCTTTCAAATTTATAATTTTTTCCTAAAATATCTCCTTTTTTGGACAAATTATCCCCATTTATTGTATATATGAAAAGTATTATTCATCAATGAGGTAATGACTAGAAGGGAATATTTTAAAATGGCTAATACGTATTTATTATAAATAGTTAATTTAACTAATATTATTAATATTTCTAAATTTGCTGTATAACTCTTATATTTAGAATTGGGCATAATAGTGTTTTTCCCTCTAGGCAGGGCTAATGAATCACTAGGATTAGACGGTTTTTGTGGCTAAATTTTAATTTTTGGTTTAGATTTTGGGCAATGACAGTAGAATGCATTTGCGCCTAAAAGAGATGATAAAGAAATTAATGCTATTTTTGAACAATTAATCATATTTTATATCCCTTATAAGCTTCAAATGAGAAAAAAATCAATTAAAATTAGTTTATATGTTTTAAAAGTATATACCGGGGTCAACCCAAAAAGCAAGTCAATTGCGTGTGGAGGATGGTGTGAGCAATAAACACGGAATGAGGATTGAAATTACTTTATAGCAGAAAATGATGTTTTCAACCTTTGTGTCTTTAAGCTTTGATATTGCTCTTTGGCTTTTATTTTCAGTTTCCTGTGCATCGTCAAGCTTGCAGGCTTCTGAGAGAGGATAAAATTGCAAGCACTTCATTCAGACCACTTATTTGCTACCAATCTTTCAATTTTATCACTTGTTTCCCTTTCGAGAAATTATACGCAACCAAAACAAATACAAAAACTAGGACTAATAGGAGGTAAGCAGCACAACGCGAGGATAAGCACCATTTTGAGCATCAAGGAAAATAGAAGAAAAACAAATCACCTGAACTTTTGCTTGAATCCAACAAAAAAAAAAAAGAAATCTGAACACAACATCATAAAAACATGATACCTTTCAAGCCCCTTGTTCTATTCTTCCATGTCACAGGAGCACCCTACTTTGATTCCCTTTGAATTAGGTTGTGACTGTGACATCGATTCCATTGCATTAGAGTTAGGTTGCGGATGCAGTGATGCCGATTGAATTGGTTTAATGTAATTTGAATATTTGACTTCTATTTTAATTCTAAATATAAGCTTTAATAATCTGATTTTTCTTTTATATTTTTTTATTTTTCTCAAATTAGTTTTTATAATAATAATAGTTATAGCTACTACATTTGATCCGTAAGGACATTAAAAAAAACAATATCTGTTTATTATAAATAATTAATTTAATTAATTTTTTTAATCAACTTAACTTAGTTAACCTATCCTTATACTCCTTCAATCTTAAATATATATAAATAAATTTTATATTTAAAAGCGGAGAAGTATTAACAACTGAAGTGGGCAGTTAATTTAAACAAACAGGACCATGCATTTCAAAGAAAAGGGGTCCCGGGAAATTGGAATTTTGGCGTGCTGTTATGAGCGGGGTGAAAAAGAAATTAACCTAGCACTGTCGGTGACCTTCACCGCCCACGCACATCACGTGGAGAGCAAAGCAAATTATTGAGTAATGACACATCACATATGCATGCAAAAAAATAAAGCAACCAACGCATGTTAATTAAAGCTACTTTTGACCCGTCAGTGTGGAAAATAAGTGGGCACGCATGCGAGTTCTTAATGATTACGCATGCGAGTTCGTGAAAGAGCGGAATTTGTGTTGAAATTGGGATACCCTGCTGCTCACAAAAAAAGAAAAAAAAAGGGGAATATTGAAGGCGGATAAATAATCTAAAATGAAACTCATCTTTTTCTTCTGTTTTTGGTACAATATTATGCATAGAGATAGGGTCTAAAAATTTATTTCATATGTCCAATATTTCTTAGAGTATGGGATACAGCTGTAATTGGTTTAAAGCACGACTTGAGGTTTTACTTGTTTCCGGGTGACTTCCGAAGAGTTTTAATGCATGGTTAGGAAATTACCTTGAGACTTCCTCCCAAATTTCTTAAGGCCTTCACCCAAAGCTTAATTAATAAAAAACTAGAAATGATTCAAATTTAATAAATGCATGATGGCCCATTATTATATATACCTATTATACTCTTAATTAAGTTGAAATTAGTCACGCGTTAAGAAGAGGGAAGATATAATAAGTAGGCACGAATCCAAGTTCTTCAAGGTCATGTGAAGAATATTCAAACAAAATTATAGTTAATACGAAATGACAGGCCGGTGACTTTAGTTTGCTTACACTGTAATATTCTCAACAAGATTTAAATAATTTAACCACTATTTTAGATTTATTTATAAATCAATGTCGTGCCAAAGAAAATCTTAAAACTTATTAATTTATATTTAAAATTAACTAGGTTTTCAACTTTGCCACCATCAAATATACATAATTTAAAGATCCTTTGTGCCAAGAAATTCTTACTGAAAGAGTAATGCAAGAAGAGATCACTCCCTCTTAAGCCATTTGATGAAAGAAATGATGCCTGTTAGAGAGAAAAAGCACCAAAACATTAGAGCAAGAGGCAAAAGTAATGAATACATACAAAAACATTTAATTCGCCATATGAACTTGGAAGTGATGGAATATTCTTGAAAATGCTCGGTTTCCTTCACAGGTTCAGTAGTTCTGTCTGTCACTTATTTTCAAAAGCAAGCTATAACTTTTACTTTATTTTACTTTGAACAAGCACATCACTATATCAGCTTTTTGCAAAGCCTCCAGCTGTGACATGTGCAGCCCTACTACAAATTATGCAATATTTGTCTGTTCTAGAAACTCATTTTCATCTGCTTAGAGAGAGACATTGACTGAAAAAATATAGATAGGAGTTATATAGATTCATCTGTTATGTAACGGACAATTATGAGGAAATAACGAATATACAGCTTCATACTCGTCTGATCCGTAGGAAATACGGTGCGAAAATGAATTTTTTTTATAGTAGTGTAGCATCAGGAAGGAAACCTTCTTCTGATTCTACAGAAAGAACATCGAAATAATATAAGAAGAGTGGACTATTATAAGCATTGCTGATGGATTGGACAATGAGCCCTTCTGCTTTCCAAAATAAGTAGAAAACAACTGAATGCACAGAATCGGGGGATGAGATTGAGACTAACAAAATATAAGATTTAATTTCATTCACATGCTTAACATGGGATATATAAATTGTTGTCTCTTAGAAAATGATGTAGAAATAATATCCATGTGTATTGAATGGTGGCTGGGTCCGGTTGTTTTTAATTTTAATTGTAATGTATAACAGTTGAAGAATTAGTTTTTATTTAATTTAGCCCTATAAGCATGGAAGAACACGATAAGAGAAAGATCAATCATAATTAAGCATATATATATAGTTTCCTATCCAAGCCACAATCTCAACCAGATAATTAAATTGGCAGCATGAGTGAGAGCCTCCCTCCACTTTTGCAGTTGTTGCCGGGTGATGCTTTTGTGCTCAAGTTCTGCAAATGCTTTCTGATAACTCTCAGATTGCTTTCTCACATGTGAAGGATCTACTCTATAGAACACTGGCATAACAAGGTGACCTTTATTTTTGGAGCACTCTAAGCTCCTTCAAGCACCACGGGGAAGATGTATTACTAATTGGGGGATATAATAAAAACATCTTAACTTAAAAGATCAAGATATGGGTGAATAGGAACATTTAATATTATAATTAAGTCTTCGCATGGGTTTGTTCAAAACCAACAAAATCATATTTCATCCGGTACAAGCTACATCAAGTAACAAATGCATACACTAAATGCGAATGGATTATAGAGTAGTCTCAGAAAATTAAGACTTGTAAGTCGCACTTTCTTCCATCAGCTTCTTATGTCTTCATTAACTGATGAGATATTCATCTTTGATATTCGCAAAGCCTTTCCCAGCAACTTCAGTAATTTGATCTGCCCTTACGACGTAGAAGCGATGAAACTCCAATCCTTAATCATGATGTGGGATTGGGGCGAGGGAACCCAAAGAGTTGTAAAACATTCACACTCATTTTCCCTCTTTTTATTTTTTTATTAATAAAAATGAAAGTTTAAATAAGTTGAATTTCGGTTCTCATTAGACTATTATGCCTTCACTTGGGCTTCGGCATACGCGCAGTTGGAATACTCTGTTTTGAAAATAGAGATAAGTTCTCTCTTTTTGCGGACGTTGCGAAGAAGAGAGAGCAGAAGTAGAGACACAAGAATAGTTATTAACAGAATACTTACGGAAAGAGACTCATTTAAATCGTAAGCCAAGACTAAAGGCCCTTTAGGCCAAGAAAATCCTCCTTGACAGAGGTATGCAAGGGAACAGACGAAAATGAACAGAGTTGCAGGTGAAAATGGACTTGAACCTTGAAATCAAAATGTATGAATGTTTTCACATATTGTCGTCAATACAACTTTTTTTGTTCATTTCATACTGAATGGAAAAGACAGCACCGAATGAAGAACGGAGAGCAGAGAGAGAGAAAATTATACGAAGAGTGGACTATAAGCATTGCTGATTGATTGAACAATGAGCCCTTCTGCTCTGCTTAGCCGGCAAGGGATCTGTCAAAAATAAGCACTGAACAAATGAACAGAATCGGTGGATGAAATTGAAACCAACAACATACCGCACCTCTGATATTAAATATAGGAGCTAGCTGACTAATTTGAATAGATTAAGGAAATAAATTAAGTTAGTTATTTATAATAAATAAATATTGTCTTTTCTAAAATATCCTTGTTAGTCAATTATATTGGCTAGAACTGTTACTATTAGAAGGACTGTCTTGAGAAAAAATACATAAATATGAGAGACAAAGTAGATTAGGATTTATATTTAAGACCAAAATTAAAGTCAAACGAAGTCTTATATTAAAGATTAGAGGTAGTATAAGATTTCGTTGGCATGCTTAACTTGGGATCAATGATTTAAAAACCGGATCGGATCGGACGGTCGGACCGGTTGAACCGTTAGCCGAACCTGTTAACGGCTCGGTTTGGACCGAAAAACCATTTATATAGTTGAGCCGGATTGGACCAGAGTTGAGTCGTCATTAAGTCGGAAACCGGAGTTGGATCGGGAACTGGAACGGTTTTCAGAAAATCGGACGGTTTTTTAGCCTGACCAAAAAAATACTAGAAAAATAAAAAAATTGACCCCCTCAAATATCCTAATATATTTTTAGACTATTTATAACCATATAGTATTATCTTATTGAAAATTTCACATATTGTGATATTAAAACCATGAATCACTAGCCTTTTTGTTTTGATGTCTGCTCTATCTTTTAAAATAATTTTTTTTATTTGAATAAATTAATAATTTTTAATATTATTAAATATTTTAAACATACATAAATTTAAATATATATAAGGTTTTAGTCCATCTTCTATGATTTTATTATATTTTTGGATCATTTAAATACATTTCTAAATTATTAATAATTTAATATTTTTCATATATATATATATATTAATTATATATATAATATTGTTTTAAATTAATTATTGCGTTACCGGTCCGACCAAACGGTCCGACTGGTTCGACCGATTGGACTATAACCCGCTGATCTTTCCAGTTTGACTTCCGGTTCGGCTTTTAAAACATTGCTTGGGATATGTAAATTGGCTCCAAAGAAATTAATGCAAGGACAAACCTCAACAAATTGGGGCTGCCACAGCCCGGGGCCCTGACACCACGTGTATGAGCTGACATGTATTGGGCGAGTCAGAATCTTCTTCGCTTTTACTGGTTTCATGTTCTTAACGATCCTTGTCCCTATTAATTATAACCGCGATCAGAGGCTCAAATGATTCATTCCTCATTTGATCAGGCTCTGCTTCGGTGTTAATAACTTCATTCTTAGATGTGAAGCTAAATGCGTCGGGAACTTATGCAAACTAAACTAACAACCCTGATTAAATTACGAACTCCGAATTACCGTCCAATATTAAATCCCAGCTATCAAATGTTAACCTCAATCAAATTTTTAGGGTATTCCTAACTAAAGGCAACTTTGCATGTTCGCAAATATTTCCAAAACTGTGGTAAAAAATTTTTTTTCAGAGGAAGATGATCGGATGAATTGAACGAGATCAAACTTTTCAGGCTGCTGATTATGAGTTTACGACTTTAATGGATGCAGCCTTGTGAATACACACACACACACACAAATGAGATGGAAATTCCTGCAGCCATCAGAGGGACAGGGATTGAAAAAGAAAGATGAGCAGATATTAATGTTCAAAGATCGAACCTGTTGTTTCTTGTTCTTCTCATATTCTTCATATTTGCAAGCTCCTTCAGTGGCTTCCTCAATGTCCATAAATCCTTTTCTTTCTCAATCTGCTCGATTAATTTCCCGTGATTATGACATAGTAGAAGTAAGAGATAGTCAGCTTAATGTCCATCAGTTGAATCCAGTTCTTCAAAAATGTTAAATTAATCATATGAATGCCAATGGTACAACTTAATGATGTGGTAATCAGAACGTACAAATTATTTAAAAGCAAGAAAAAAGCATTTCTATCACTAGTAGTTAAAACCAGAGCATACCATTTTGAGGTCGAGGCGCGAGAGTGATATATAAAGTTGAAGTAGTGGGCAGATGAATTGAACTTGAGAGCTGTAAAACTCAAAAACAATTTCTTGAAATTCATCGAAGTAAGCTGTGATATTTGCGCTTTCGAGAGGCCGATTTGCAATGCAATAATGCCAATTGAATTTGTTTGATGTAATTTTGATATTCAACTGCAGATGTCGGGCACACCCCCCACTCTTTGATCTCTACTGTTGTTTCATCATCATCAAAGGCTGCGAATTCAAATTGAAGCAATGGATGATAAGAAGTGTTGCTTTGGGCTTCTATTTTCTTTTCTTCAATTTTGCTTTGTACTTCTCGACATGGCTCTTGATCGCACCAAAGAACAACATGATCTGATAACAGGGAGTGATCTGATAACACGGACTCACCGAGAGAGTAGTGCTCAAACGTGGAAGCATGTTGACCATCAATAAACAATTCGGCTGTAATATATGGGCACCGTGATGATCCAGAAATGACGGCGCAAAAAATGAAAGCGCCATCCCAAGGTTGTGGAATCGAACTGAGATCCACAGTCAGGAAAGACTGTGTAGTCCTATACATGACCCACTCTGCAACTCTTCTTCCCGGATATTCCATTTTAGCCGAGAAATAAATGGCTTTGTTGTTATTTATGGCAAGTAGCACTCTGGCCTCAACAGCTTTGATTGACTGCCCATCCAACTTCATGCAATTTATGAGACTGATTTCTTCAGGAGAAAATTGATCTCCTTCTCTATCTTCACTCATTAAAGGTAAATGTAAAGTCTCAAGGGACAGGCAGTCATTGACGTGCAGTAGTAAGATAGAGGGAGGGAGTTGTGGTAGAGACAGAAGCCTTTTGCATCCTTTTAAGGTGAGTTCTTCCAGGCTTGAAAGATGTTTGATGCTTAAAGGCAAGGTCTCTATATTACTCCCTGAGAGATCTAACTGACGTAATGACGCCAACAAGCTGATGTTGTCAGGAACTTCATATAATTCACTACAATTAGTCAGCCGTAGAAAGTGCAAAGCACGCATCTCATCAAATTTGGAACACAGATTTGATGCTAACTTATTACAATAATCAGCATCAAGGTATCCAAGGGTGCGCATGTCAACCAATTTGTGGAGACTTGTCACACCTTCGCATCTTTGTAGATGCAAAAGATCAATTTTGCTGAGATGTCCGCTTGATGAGCACAACTCACCATTGATGGTTGCGTCACGCACCCAGAGAAACGATTGTTTTTCTGAGGTCACCGAAAATTCACTCAGTCCTGAGCATCCCGCCAAGCTGAGTTTCCCCAGTGATTTGAGATGGGTGTTGCTGGTAAGGCTAGTAAGAGCTTTGCAATCTATTAGAGATAAACAATGGAGGCTATGAAGAGATAAAATAGATGGATGAACATTCTGCAATTTTCTACAATAATTGAGATCAACTTCTGCAAGATGTATGGCCTTGGAAAAATTTGGGAGCTCAATCAAGTCTTCTGATACACTAAGATTGATTTTGCTTAAATTCACGAGATTCTGTAAAAAAAAAAAAATCCATGGTAAGATTAGTGGCAAAAATGAAAATAATTACTCTCTCTTATCCTTTTTTAATAGTTTTACTAAAAAATTACTTATTAATGTCGAAAGGTTTTACAACTTTCTAAAATTACACTTAATCAGTAATCTTTATAAATATTTGGGTGATGGTGAAATACAAACGCATTTTCAGAATGGGTGCTGTCATTCTTTCATTGAATTTTTTAAGAGTTTTTAAACCCCCATAGGTAAAAGCTTACAAATAATTAAGACGAAAGAAAAGGCACATAATAAAATTTTTCAACTCGTGCATTAATAATATTTTCAAAGAAAAATATAAAATTTACCTGCTCTCCATCCCAAAGTTTTGTCAATTTGCTGTAGGGCATGTTTATTTCAACAAGATTTTCACCCTTGATTGTTGTCGGCAAGGTCTTCAAAGGGCATCCCACCCAATCCAATAGCATGAGGTTTTTTGACAAAAACATCATGCCAGAAGCATTTAACTTGTTCCTAAGCTGAACATTTAAATTTCCATAAACCCTAAGAAATTTTAGATTGGGCATTGAACGAAATGCTTTAATAATTACGCGCGTCTCTTCAACTTCTGAAATGTTCATAATCATGCCTTCAATACTTCCCTAACAAACAAAAAATAATAATAGTAATAAATAATTATATAAATCAAATAGTATTTAGAATTCAACAATCTTTTTAATAAATAAATATACAAATTTCACACTTACCATATTTTCCTTCAATATTTCAGAACTTTTCTGGAAAATCCAAAATATGTTGCACCATGTAGAATATTTTAATGATTCTTCACGGACAATTTGTTTACCCATTTGTTTTATGAGACTGTGCATGCATATTTTTCCTCCATGAATATCTAAAAGTGCTTTTTCTTCAAGTCTTGTCAATCCAATCTCAGTTGAATAACCGCATGCATCTAACAATTTTTTTACATCCTTAACATCATAATCATGATTGAAAAAACATGCGACGTGCAAGACAATATTTTTCTCTTCCTCATCATCAAGTCCTTCAAAGCTCAATCTAAGGATTTTATTGACTTCTTGACAAGGTAATTTTTGAAGCTTGTCCAATTGGCTTTTCCATGCTTCTTGCTTTTTGCCGCATAGGAGGCGGCCTAAAACCTTTAGGGCCAATGGATTTCCACCTGCATATTTAGTCACTTCTTCTGCTAGCTCTCTTATCTTTGGGTCAACATCGCAATTTCTAAAGGCATTGATGGAGAATAGATCAAAAGCTTCATAAGGACTCAAACCACGAAGCACATATATATCATCCACTTCATTACCAAGTATTTGCTTATCTCTGGTTGTTATCAAGATTTTACTACCAGGTCCAAATTCATGTTTTCCAACTAACTTATCTAAATGTGTAAGATCATCAACGTCATCAAGCACAATGAAAACCTTTTTCCGACCAAGCCTACTGACGGTATAAGGACATATTGCATTGCCAATGTGAGATTCTTTATCCCCTAATAACCCCCGAACAACTTTTTCCCTCAAAGCATCCATTCCATGTCTCTTTGATTCTTCCCTTACATTAGTCAAAAGGCAAGACCCTTCATAATTAAAACGCAATTTGTTAAACAATGCTTTTGCAAGAGTTGTTTTGCCCAAACCGCCCATCCCCCAAATTCCAATGAATTGGCAACCACCAATTTTTGAACCTTTGTCCAACAATGATTTGACATCTGCCATTCTTCGCGAATTCCAATCAAGCCTTCTAGATAATCTTCAATTTGATACCTACGACCCAACTTTTGTATGACACTATCCACTATTTCTTTAATTAGCTCCGCTTCATCCCTACACGCCATTGAAAAAATAAAGAGGCACCAAATTTAACACCACATTATCTGTTCATTTCAAATTTTGAACTATTCCTAATGACATGTAACTATGAAGATTTGCCAATTTTTAAAATTTGTTATAATATTTTTTTGAGAAATATTACTTATATTAGATGACATAACTAGATATATATAAAATTCCAGCTTCATCGTATGGCTAAGAATGCATCGTCATTACCATAGTGAGATAGGGATTTAGATTAAAATATCATAACGGTAAAGTTGATGGACCCGGTGGACTGGTTAAGCATAGTGTACAAGAGAAGCTATTTTCTTTATGATCATCAGCGTTACTTCCATTAAATGCCTCAAAGATTGATTTAATTTAGCCCCAGGGATGGAAGAAAATGATAAGAGGAAGATCATAAATATGTAGTTACCTATTGAAGCCACAATGCCAACCAGCCAAACCGGCAGCTTGAGTAAGAGCCTCCTTCCACCTTTGCAGTTGTTGATTGTTGATGTTTATTTTGCGCTCATGTTCTTCAAATGCTCTCTCGTAACTCCCAGACTGCTTCCTCACATGTGACGGATCCACCCTATGGAACACCGGCATAACAAGGTGATCTTGATTTTTGGAGCACTCGAATATTTTTGCAAGCTCCTTCAGGCACCACGTGGAAGATGCATAGTTTTCTGAGAAGATCACAAGGAACAGAGTTGAATCTTTAATGGCTTTCTCAAGAGACGGCCATACCTCATCTCCCTTCTCAAGTCTATAGTCGATGTATGTATCTATTTGGTTTGTGCGAAGAGCTTCATGAAGGTGGCTTGTGAAATTGAAGCGGTTGTCCTCACCTCTGAAGCTAATAAAAACATCATATTTTTTTGGAGATTGAGAAGATGGAGCAGAGGAAGAAGATGAAGCCATATCAGATTGCTTTGCTACGGTAAGCAAGAGAGAATTGGGAGTGCTTTCAGTTCAGATCTAAGAACGATTGGTAATAGGAAACAAACCGGCCTAAGAGGAAGATATATAAGATTTTAGTGTAGTAGATTGAGTCAACCAAGTCAATGAAAATGGAACAAAATGAACAATAAATAATCATAGATTTCAAAGAAAGGTGGTCCCACAGAAAGAAAATATTACAGAGAGAAAGGAAACTCCGCTGACACTTTCTCCGAAATGTTGAAAGCTTAATCAAATTTTCTAAGGAATGATCCAAAAAGAAAAAGAAAATCAAATTTCCCAAGAAAATATAAACGCCTGCGGTCAAATGTCCTAATGAAATTTGGTTTAATAAAGCACCATAATTACACCTCTACTCTTATTTATGTGGCATGTTTAGTCTTCGCCTCTAGAAATATAAGATTGAACAAATACTTATTTTATTGAAAATTAATGACATGTATTATCAACAAATTTAAAGTGAAAGCCGGAGCTAGTAAGCATTAGAGTTTTAACATTTCAAAACTGCAAGTTTTGACAATTTTTAATTATATTTATTATTAGCCCTCATTTCCTCTCCTCTTCACAGAGCAAAAAGCAAGTCAATTGCGTGTAGAGGAGGATGTGACTGTGACTTATAGACAAGACACGGAGGAGTAAGGTACGGATTGCACGTGACAAGGGGAAAGCTCACCCCCAATTGGATGCTTTTTGTCTGAAAATAATATTGAATAACGACATACAATACGCCGAAAACAAAAGCAAAGTGCCGGAAATTCCAAGGCCACGCACATGGCTTTGGTAAAAAGCTTCATAGACAGTGATGTCTCATCTGGAGGAATGATGTTAAATAGTAGTAATGTTTTTGAATAGAATGTCCGTTATGAATAAAATAAGACTAAAATACCCTCCGTTTATTATTATAACATCTAATTTTTTGATAGGTCTGTGCCTTTTTTCTAAAATCCTCTTTAAATTTTTCTGAGCATTTAATATATTATTATCTATTTTATTTCTAATTTAATATATTTAATACATTTTTTAATCTCACTATTACTTTATCACATTTACCCATTTATATATAGAGTTATATTTTAAAAAAATTATATTTACTACGTATTAATTTTTTTAACTAATTTTAACTGTTTTTTAAATTACATAATTTAGTTAAAAGAATCTTATAACAAAAAAAACAGAATAGGACATGGCTTTACCACGTGCCGCTTCACCGAGTGGTATGCATGCATGCAAGCGTGGTATGTATTGCAGGGTTGAGTCCACCTTCTTGTAACTCAAAAAAAAAAAAAAATACACGGCTTTTTTGATTTTATATGAAGTTTTATTTTAGTTTTTTAAATTTTAAAAAGCATAAATTTGATTTTTTTAACCTTAAAATTATTAGGCTTAGATGATATTTTAAAAATTAAACTTAATATATTAGTATTTAAGAATATTTTATCGATATTTAAGATCTTTATGTTATCATTTTTTATTAACAGCTTTTGGATCAAATGACTAAAATTATACTTGTTAAAAGTTAAGGAATCAAATTGAAACTCTTTATAAAGTTAAAAGACTAAGGGCTTATTTGGATGACGGTGAAAAACCCTTATAAGTATATTTTACGTAAATTGAGACAAAACTCTTTTTATATATTTGTCTCGTATTCTGTAAATCACGGTTAAAAAGCTACTTATAAAGTGCTCCAGACAGGTCTTAAGTGTGTACTTTTTAGCATATCATGGACAATCTCATGGAGCTCTCAGGTGACATTCACCAAAACTTCAGTTTGTTAGTACTGGAAGCTTCATCGGTCCTCCGCTGCTTGGACGACATGGCCCTGGTGACGAGACCGTCGAAACGGCAGAATTGAAAATGAACAAAATATAATAGAGAAGTGGTGCTCGGGATGAGATCAGAGTATAAATAGAATGGAAGTAACGTAGCGATTTCCGAAATATGAAATCACAGAAGTTTAAGAGGAATGATGGTATCACGAACCGTTTAAAATACTACTAGCTCCGGTCTTAATTATAAGAATTAGTTGACTAATTTGAGAAGATTAAAGAAATAAATTAAGTTAGTTATTTATAATAAATACGTGTCGTCTTTCCTAAAATATCTTTACTAATCAAATATATTGATTATAACTATCATTATTAGAAGGATTACCTTAAAAAAATACAAAAATATTAGAGACAAAATAGATTGAAACCTTATATTTATGACTAAAATAAAAGTCAAACAAGGTCTTATATTAAAAAACGGAGGTAGTATATTTGACGGTTTTAAGATGAGAGCCGTAAAATATTGGTTTCATTTGTTATTTATTAAAAAATGTAATAATATGTGACAGTTAAGTTGGTTAGAACCGTCAAGTACTGATTAAACATACTTAACTGTCCATTTTATAACTATCACATGTTTGTTTGTGTGATCTTCCCCTCATCATATTTATCATATTTGACGGTCCTACGTTATAACCGTCTTCTATTGAACTTCATATGTAGTGAAAATTTGTAACAGAACTTCCTGTGGACATCTGCTCCTACACTCTTTATATTGGCTGTCTGAATTTAATTATGCGTAGGCCAAATAATTTTCCCACTCCTATCCATGCTGTCGAAAGGTTCTTCTCGACGATTAGCTTGGCTGCCGTGTTAGTTCCTTCATCATAACCAATGACAACCCTGCAGAGAAACAGGTGAGACAATGAATGCATAACGACTGCGAAACTTGAAAGGAATCAAACGCCACATTATATTTCAAAAGACGGAGGAGCCGCTGGAAAATTACTTCCCGGAAGATTGTCCAACCAAATGCACTAAGTCACTGTTGATTTTTTTTTTCTGGAGCCAGATTTTCAGCATACCAAACACGCTCTAAGAGATTGTTTGAAATCCTAAGGTATTTTTAAAAAGTAATTTTTGTGTAAGTTGAAATAAATTTTTTTATGTATTATTTTATATGCTGTAAAATTTCTTTTTAAATTATAATTTGATTTCCACATAAATACTCTTTACATTGACAAGGATCACTGTTGATTGGTTGGCTTTTGGTGGAGGCTAAAATAATAATTACTCATATGCATTATTATGGGGCAAATTATTGAATAACGACAGGTAATATAATGCGGGAAAAGCAAAGGCAAAGTGCCAGATATTCCAAGGCCCACACACACAGGCTGATGGTAAAGAGCCTCATAACTCATAAGCCATAAACAGGGATGTGACTCCTTCTGGAGGGATTTCTTTTTAGCTTGAATGTTAATACTCCGGTGCTTATTATAGGTAACTTATATATTTTTATTTATTATTTCTGATTTTAATTATAAAATTTTATTTATAAATTATAAACGAGGTTTTATAATTAAAATTAAAAAATAATTTTTAAATCTTCAACGATGATGACCCCCCTCCTCACTAACAGCTCTAGAGCTGTGAGGCCACTGGCAACCGGTGTCGGCAACAACTTTTTCTTGTGTTTTTTTTTTTTTGCCAAAATAGTTCATGTGGGATTTAGTTCTAAAAATGTTTGGTGACCAATGAGTCACCCAAACCCATTTGTTATAACATTAGAAAATAAAATACTTCCTCCCATCTTAATATAAAATCTAATTGACTAATTTAAATATATTAAGAAAGCTTGTTAGATTAATTATTTATAATAAATATATCTTGTTTTTCTAAACTAGCATTGATAATCAAATGTGTTAGCTTTAACATATGATAAAACTTTTAACATGTGTAACTATTAAAAGGACTACTTTAAAGAAAAATAAATAAATATGAGAGCCAAAATAAATTAGTGTCTTATATTTATGATCAAATTAAAAGTCAAATTAATTCTAATATTAAGAACTCGTGGTATAAGATAACTATCCAAACAAAAAATCTCGATCAAAATAATTTATTACACTTTTAACATATTAAGTATTAACAACATTTGCTATAAGTTTCACCACTTTATTAATGACATTTACAACAATTTTTTTTCCCACAATTTCAACACTTGAAAAAAAAATATATAGAGAGCCCAGTTATATAAACATTGACAACTTTGTAACGAGCTTCGCCACTCTCTCATTGTGTGAAAAACAATGAATAGGTCTCAAAATCAAAGAGGGAAAATGAATATATAATGACTGCGAAACTTCAAAGGAATCAAACACAACATTATATTTCAAAAGAGGAGCCTCTCTGAAGTTAGTTAAACCTTTCTTTTATGTCCTTTGCAATGAAAATCTGGAAGATGTTGACTAACTCAGCCCATTTCAGTCGGGCGGAGTTTCATTGATTTCAAAACTGAACTTGAAAAACAATTGATCCCCAAAGAAAGCTAAAGAATAAGAACAAGTAATTTCAGTGGGAGTTTTATTACAGATGGATGGTTAGAGGTGTGAAGGGATGAAAAGATCAATCTTTATTACGAGGTAAGTTGAATCTCCCATTATTGGAGCTTTATATATACGAACCTTGATTTAGTTTTCTTGTTTGATTTCGACATTCATCTGTTAATACTTTGGTTTATTATAAATTTTATACTTTTCATGATTAGTGGTGCTCTAATCTGTACTCTTCTCTTCAATTATCCCTCGCAATTGTGAAGGAAGCTCTCAGATATACCAGAGCTGGTCAAATTTTCTAAGGGCTGGTCAAAAAGAAAAAGAAAATCAAATTTCCCAAGAAAATATATACGCCTGCTGTCAAATGTCCTCATAAAATATGATTTGATAAAGGGAGAATTATAACCAAGTCCCATAAAAAGAAAAAAAATTACAAAATAAGTCATAAATGTTATATTTTTTATTATATCGAGACCTTTTAATAATTATTTTTTTTCAAAGAATTTGATTGTAATTCTCCTTTTATTAAAAAGCACTATGATTACACCTCTCTTGTTTTTCCCCTCCGCAGCATTGGAAATAACAGTAATAAACCCGGAAAGCAAGTCAATTGTGCGTAGAGGATGGTGTGACTGTG